GAAAAAATTGTCTCCTGCTGGGAGGAGACCTGCCCTGGGCAAAGCAGCCTGGTGGCACTGCTGCCTGCAGGATCACACGTGGTTTTTAACAGCTGAGCTGTCTCCACTAAAGAGCTTCTCTGCCCAGTTCAGCTCCTCAGCTACAACCCCCATCCCCAGTGCTACACTAATGGTGTGAATTTGGGCTCCACCATCACCTGGAGCGGGAATATCAGTTTAGGAAATCAAGCCTTGCTGTCATTTCTGGCCAAGAAGTGGAAAACTGGAGGAAACCCCATGAGGTGAGGCAGGAAAAAGAGGAAGTTGCAGAGGGTGAAGCCTGGAGGTCTCAGAGGAGCTGGGTGGTGGGTGTTGGGCTGTGAGACCTCCTGGAAGTTGCATTCAGCTCATATATTCATCTAAATATTACAGTCAAATGTGTTTGGGACATGCCCTAAAATCAATAGGATTCCTTTGGTTGACTCCAGTGGGAGTTGGACCATCACAGCCTGGGGAAATAGAGATCCCTGCTTCAGAAGATGCTGTTAGATTGAAGTCCCCTGTTTTTAGCTGTTCAGTTTTAAGGAGGGTGGCCACTGTAAGAAAAGCCACTGAAAGTCCAGATCTCTGAGAACATGAGTCATTGCCAGGGCTGGGTTTTGCTGCAGGAGCAGAGGGAAAGCTGGGGACTTTCCCTGAGGGACAGTGAGGACCATGCAAACAAACAAGGTGGGAAGTGAGACCCTCCCGAGCTCCACACCTGCCCAGGGCACACCAGGACGGTGCCTTTGCATCCTCTGACCCTGTGGAGGGACAACTGGTGGTCAACCTTCACCCAGGGAGTCCCTCGAGGTCAGGGCAGCGCCGCTGGCAAAGGTTGCACAAGGGGAAGCACCAAGATTTCTTTATGCATTAAACATGACCAAAAGCAAAATATTGCAGAGGCTTTCCCCTCCAAATTTCAGTGGCTGATTTAAAGGTGTGCTAAATTTTGCTGCGTGTCTCTCTCTGCCATGATTTTTTTCCTGTTTCCCTAATATTAGGACCTGGAGGGGAGATGCCACTTTCCTGCTGTTGGTGTGTGTTCCCTACATCTTCCAGGTTACATTTTGAGGCTGAGTGTTGATTTAGAAAACTGTAAACAATTTTTTTTCTTTGGAAAAAACAAAAATTTCAAGTAGCTGCTGCAAACCACGAGATACAATTTTAATCTACTTTACAGGGAAGTTGGAAGGGATTAATTAAGCAGTTAATAATTCGCCTGAGCTTTATGTTAGTGCAAAGTGCTGAATCTATTCATAAGGAAATGATGAAAAGTCATTACCTTTTAGAACCGAGAATCTGAAGGAGGGTCATGCAAAACTATACTGGAAGTGCTGGAGAAAATTCAACACACTTTTTGTTTCGGAGCTGAGGAAATTGGATATTGGAGGTGGAAATAGAGATGTGGCTTAGCTGCAATATTCCAGATCAACATTCCTCCCCACAGGTATCAACTGTTCCCCCTTAGCTTACAAAGCTTTGAAGAACTTTCAAATTTTACTCTCGAAAGTACATTTTTTTTTCCTCCGATCAGACTTTCATTTTTCTCTTTGTTTTTGTTTGGTTGGTTGGTTGGTTGGTTGGTTTTTGGTTTTGTTTTGGTTTGGTTTTGTGGTTTTTTTTGGTTTTGTTTTTCTTTTGGTTTGTTTGTTTTGGGGATTTTGTTTTCGGTTGGGTTTTTTTCGTTTTGGTTTGGTTTGTTTCTTTTGGTTTTTTTTTTTTTTGGTTGGTTGGTTGGTTTTGGTTGGGGTTTTTTTTTGGTGGTTTCTTTTTTTTTTTTGGGAGGGGATGTTATTTCAGTTCGACCTGCAGCTTCAGCTTTCCCTACCCATTAAATGAGGGCTCCAATGAGCTGCAGGGGGTGGTGGTACAGAGGAGGGACAACAGCAGGAATCGCACCCCAACGCACACCCAACAAAGCCAAAGTCCAACGAGGTCCCCCCAAGGCCCTGAAGGGAAAAGCTCCCCAGCTGCTGGCAGAGACCTACAGCAAAAAGGCCCCAAAGAAGGTTTTGTGCTCCTTGGTGTAATCCACCAGCTTGATGTCGCTGACGTTGACCATCAGCTTGTCCCCCACTTCCAAGGAGACCACAGCCCCCAGATAAATGGGCTGGTACCAGCCATTCCAGTTCTCACTGAGGGTCTTGGTGCCCGTCAGCAGCTGGGTGGGCTCGGGGTAACTGTCAGTGACCTTGGTGATGATCTCAGTGACAGAAATGTGTTTGCTGGGGCTCTCGATGAGCCCTCGGAACGTGACCTGAGCATAGACATAGTAGTCCCCAGACACAGGAATCACCAGAGCGTTGCTGGAATAACTCAGGTTGTTCTTGGTAAAGGCCAAGCCTCGCTTGTCTTCCCACTGCAGGATGGGCAGGTGGTTCCCCACAGCGCTGCTGGGGTCTTGTCTCTTCACTGTGGGAGGGACAGAGAGGGAGAGGAGGTGGGTTAGGTCACTGCAGCCAGGGCTGTGCTGCTGCATGAACATGTCTGCTCCAGGGGGGAGGAGATCATAGAATCATAGAATCATAGAATCACAGAATCATAGAATCACAGAATCATAGAATCACAGAATCAGAGAATCAGCTGGGTTGGAAGGGACCTCTGAGATCATCAAGTCCAACCCTTGATCCAACCCCGCCGTGGTTCCCAGCCCATGGCACTGATGCCACATCCAGTCTCAGCTTACAAACCTCCAGGGATGGAGAATCCCCCACTTCCCTGGGCAGCCCATTCCAATGGCTGAGCACCCTCTCTGCAAAGAAATTCTTTCTAATATCCAACTTAAACCTCCCCTGGCACAGCTTGAGACCCAGCCCTCTTGTCTTGCTGATGGTTGCCTGGGAAAAGAGACCAACACCCCCCTGGCTCCCCCCTCCTGTCAGGGAGTTGTAGAGAGTGAGGAGGTCTCCCCTGAGCCTCCTCTTCTCCAGGCTGAACAGCCCCAGCTCCCTCAGCCTCTCCTCACAGCACTTGTGCTCCAGTCCCTTCACCAGCCTTGTTGCTCTTCTCTGGACCTGCTCCAGGACCTCAATGTCCCTCCTGAGCTGAGGGGCCCAGAACTGGACACAGATCAAACAGGGTGATCAAAATAAGGACAGAAATGTTCTTGTTTCACAGCTCGAATCGGCTGCAGGCCAGCTGTGCAGTGGGATTTCCAGGGGTGCTCACTGGGTTTCCCAATGTCATTTGATTTTACCAAAAGCTCAGAAGACCCCCCTATGTGCTGGCAGAATGCCCACAATGTGTCACTAAGCTCTGAGACATTTGAACTTCTCTTCCAGCCAAGTTGCTCCCTGAAGGGG